CTCCCTCTCCCACTCCCCCTGCTTGTGTTCCCTCTCTCACTGTGTCTCTCTCTGTCAAATAAATAAATAAAATCTTAAAAAAAAAAAAAAAGAGTCGAACATTCAACTGACTGAGCCACCCAGGTGCCCCATTGTGCCAAGTATCCCTTTAGGCACTTAAATGGAATTGCAGAGGAACCTTGGAAATGATCTAGTTATCAGATGATAAAACTGAAACCCAGAGAGGTTAAGCAACCTCTTCAAAGTCACACAGCTTTTTGGCAGCTGTTCCAAGACTCCTGCCTTCTGCCCTTGCAATGAGATGTTGGTTGCTGCAATGACGATGCATCCTTTTGGTCATATCATCTTGGAATAAATGTTAAGAGTAACAGCTGTGTAGACCCAAGGCTTTATTTTCTTTATTATGACAACATGTCCCTGGGAAGAAAATATTTGTAGATCTAACTTTTGGATGTGAAGTAAGTGTCAAACTGAAATGTTATTGACTCAATGGTGCTTCCTACTTTGATAAATGTATCCAATATGTTCCCAGTGACTCATCGGCAGGGCGAATGTATCTTTTTTTCCCTTTTTCCACACTGACATTTTTATTCTTCTACACAGTGCTGCCCCTAAAATCTGCATATACAGCATTATCAAATTTCATCCCAAAATTAATAATTTGATTAGTTATTCAAAATCTCAAGCATCCTGACAACCAGCAATCAAGGGGTGGGGTGGGGGAGAATAATGTCAAACTGATGATTTATCTTTGTTTTTTTCTCCCACAAATGAGCTCTCTCAGACAACTTATTGGGAAATCATGAAAAGATGTTTTACTTCATCACTATATCTGGAACATCCCTAAAAGAAATGAAGGATTTTTCTAAACCATAGGTTGGTCCTTGATATATTATCTTTCTTACAGAAAAAAAAAAAATCAGACAGGGGGCTATAATGCAATGGTTTTATTTTCACGGTGTCATAAAGAGATTTAGAAAGATCCCATACTGAACACTGTGAAATAAAATTAGTGATGGAATAAATGAAATGAGAGTTTTAAGATTAAAAATATGCTGAGATGGGGGTGCCTGGGTGGTGCAGTCTGTTGAGCAACTGACTCTTGATTTCAGCTCAGGTCGTGATCTCAGGGCTCAGGGTGGTGAGATCAAGTCCTGCTTTAGGCTCTGCACTCAGCGTGGAGTCTGCTTAAGATTCTCACTGCCTCTCCCTCTGCCCACTCCCCACCCCACCCCACCCCCACATGTGCGCGTGCTCTCTCTCTCCAAATAAATAAATAAATCTTAAAAAAAAAAAAATCTGGGGCGCCTGGGTGGCTCAGTTGGTTAAGCGACTGCCTTCGGCTCGGGTCATGATCCTGGAGTCCCGGGATCGAGTCCCGCATCGGGCT